GTCCACTGCCAGAAATCTATGCAACAATGAGAGAGAAACGGCTCCTTCCAAGAGCGCCCTGGAAACCACCTAGCCACCCCCACAGCACTGGGGAGGAGGAGTCAACCTCACCCCACTCAGAGCAAATGCAGGATTCTCCTGTGTCTGGGACCAGAAGTCAAGACCCGGCCTTTGATTTTGCAAAGTCATCAGTCCCCTCGGCCCAGTCACACCTTGATTAGATGTAAAGTTCGCCCAATTATTTAGGCTGTCGGCGATCAGGAGGGTCTTTACAATCCGCGGAAGCTTTGGGGGAGTTTCCCAAGGAAACTGTTCATTGTTAGACCCCAAACAAACCAGGAGAAAGTGGAGTTCATTTGCCCACCACGTAAGGCTTGCTGTCTGACAGCAAAAGGGGGTGGGCAGCTCACGTTGGGGTCAGGAGCTTGCTGAAGGTGCAGAGGGGGGAGATGGGGGTCACATGAGGAGAGAAGCTTAAGGAAAAGACTGATATTAAAAGAAACTACTTCTCTCCTATAGGGCTTTATGATAATGGACACCACATCAGCTTTCAAAGCAACACGGATTTTCGCTGACTTCTGGAGAAAGAAGGCTTCAAGAACACTGTACGCCCTGTCTGTAGCCCTGTGAGTCCGAGTTGGACAAAGAATTACTCCACAAAAAACCACATCTGCTTATGTTGAAATGTGAGGTCTCCTTGCTCCTTGAGGGGACTTTTGTTTTTCCCGTACATAAATAGGAAATCGGGGTTGATGGCTTCTCTGAGCGGTCTGTGGTCCTCTACCTCTGGCCCAGCTACGATTTCTATCTTCCTTCCTTTTCTTGCCGAGAGATGAAGGCATAATTAAGCCACTGAGGTCACCCCCATGTATGCAGCTGCACCATTCTCCTGTCAGCTTGGGCGGGCAGGGCAGCGGCCCAGCCCCCACAAACCCCTCAGCATTACTTCTTCCTCTTGCTGGCAAACAAGCACCCTCCCTCCATGTAAAGACCGGGGGGTGGGGGTGAGGGAGGATGCCAATAATCTCTAAGTTATGTCCAAATGTCCAGTGTCTCCCTTTGGTGACTTGAAAGAACAAAAGCTTAAAGAGGAGTAAATTTAACCTGATAGACCTTAGAAAACTTGCAAAGCAGAAAAACACCTAAGGCAACCTTGCCCACAAAGCAGAAAAGTTAGCCCTGTCAGCAGCATTTCTCAAAACTCAGAGTCCAGCCTCGTGACACACAAGCCACACAAGAAATGAAACCTGCAAAAATCCTCCCCATCCCTGCCTGCGTGCCTGGCACCTGCAAGGCTGAAAACAGAGACTCCCCAGCAATCTTCTTCAAATAGGAGCGTTAAGTGAGATCAAAAACCTTCAGGTTGGAGGTGGGAGAAAAATGAAAAACCAGGACCATTAAAAATGTATCTTCTAGGCCCTCCCTGGTGGCGCAGCGGGTTAAAGCACAGCACTGAGAATCTAAAGCCGCTTCCGCATGAGTTCGATCCCCGCCTGCTCCGGAGGTGACCACATGTTGTGGCAGACCTCTCCTGACCCACCCGCTGCTCCCCTCAGCAGTGGACTTCGTCGATCTGCCTGTTCTGCTCCCCACTCTGTCTCTGGTGAAGCCTCTCACCGCCCCCTGAGTCTCTGGCCTGTACCCCAGTTCTGTATGCACAAATAAATAAATCTTTTTAAAAAATGTATCTTCTAAACAATCAATGTACCAGATTTGTACACTTTTCTTTGGAGTCAAGAAACACTTCGCCCCGTGACCCAGGTCATCAATAATTTCTTTCCAGCAAAGCGAATTCCTAAGTGATAACTAAGCCCATGTATCACTGGTGGAGCAAGCGCGAGCCAGCACGCTAACCTGGAAAGGCAGTCAGTGCCCTACTGACTGGGAGCTTCTTGCATCTTCAACTTCTGGCATCTTGTCGGTCCCCTCCGAGGCCACCGGGGTGGGGGGGTGCTAAGCCGGCCCATCACACTTCGCCCTGTCCCACTTGGTGATGCTGTCTGTCCCCCCTCAGGACGCTTATCTCTTCTGCTGCCTCTCCGTCACCTCTCCCCACCCCCACTTACATCGTCTAGATATTACTTCCGTGAGCACCAAGTAATCATTATGCCCTCTGGATTTATATTAATTTTGCTATACCAGATATTGGATTAGCTCAGACAGTGGACCATAGGTCCATGCTTGGTAATTTCCACTGCAGTGGTGTCCGTGGTGAATCTGGATTTGCATTTCCAATCTAAGAAAACATGACTATGTACGGAGGCTCTGCTTTATGTCAGGAAGAATTTGAGGGTACTTACATAAATACGTACAGTAAAACAATCGAATTGCCAAGACAGGATAAGGGGCCACAGACGCCCAAGGAGGAGAGCCAAGGTGAGCTAGGAAAGGCCAGAATGGAGAGCTCATCGTGGAAGCCACCAACAGCTGGCGATGAAGCCCTATCCCCACCGTCCATGGGGTTAGACACACACCAGCCCTGAGACATCAGGGCCCGCTGACCAGACCAGGCCTCCATCTGTTTTGGTAAATAAAGTTTTCGGGGAACATGGCCATGCCCACTCATTTGCATGTGACGTAAGGCGGCTTTCACCTTAGCATGGCAGAATGGAGTAGATGCAACTCCAAACTGTGAGACCTAAAATAGTTACTCCTTGGCTCTTTCCAGAAAAAAAGATGTCGGGCTCTGGGTTTTGTGATTCTTTGTCTGGAGAATCCCAGCAGTTATACAGTGAGCACACTTCTTATGATTCTGACGAGTAAGAGAACTTTGTATTACCAAGAGCTCACTGAGGAATCTCATGGGAAAACATCCTGAGCTTCCTAGGACAATGATACAGCATCATAATGTTCAGTAAAACAGCGGCCCGAGGGGTTGGGGCACTGCCCTCGGGGGCAGTTCTGGTCCAGCATGATCAGGGAGCATCTGGAGAGATGGCAAGTGCCAGGTGCAAGGGCCACCCTTCCCATCGCTCGCTCCCTGTTCTGAGCAGACAAGGCTGATGGATCAAGCTGTTCTTTCCCCAAGCCCGAAGTGAGCCCAGAGTCTTCTCTGAGTCTTGGGAAGCCTCAACCAGCCATTAGCAGTTCTGCAAGAGAGAACTGATACACATCATGTTCTTTGTTCTAAGGTAATTCTCCGTGAACATTCTGACCGACATTGGGTGTGAGCTGGCGGGCAAACTCTCTGCTGAGTTCCTGAAACCCAGTCAACTCTTTTCATGGATTTCCCTTAAGAACCGGGAGCTCTGGGGGTGGTGAAAGGTGCCTCCACATACCTGGCGAACAGGGTCTCTGCACAGACCAGCAGTAGCTGGGGCCAGAGAGAAGTGGGCAGGTTCAGAGTGGGCGGGGCCACAGAGAAGTGGGAGGGGCCAGGGGGTGCCGGGTCCAACAGTTGGATGGTTCCAGAGAGAAGTCACAGTCAGAGAGAAGTGGGTGGGGCCAGGAGAAGTGGGCATGGCCAGAGGGAGGTGGGTGGAGCCAGAGGGTGAACTGGCGTTTTATCTGAAAATGTTTACACCCAATCCCAAGTTGCTTGTCCAAGAAGGAAATCTCCAAACAGCCAACATCTGCACCTGCTGATCTCAAATACCTACATTGCTAAAGCGTGGCCCAAGACACAAGGGATCCCAAGTAAATGCAAAGAAAAGGAGAAAAAGAAAGATGCCTGCATAGTCATAGGCCAGTAGAAATGTTGCCTGAAATTATCTTTTTTTTTTTTAAATTTGACTTTTTGTTTCAGCTTTATGGAGGTATATTTGACATACAGCACTGGAACAGAGATTTTTAAGAAACTACAGGTCACGGTGGAGGACAAACCTATGGAGGCAGACTTGAAACAACACACCCCGTCTTTTCTCTGTCCACTCCTCCCCTGTGCCTGCGAAGCTATGCGATATACAATGATTCGTTTCTGTGTTCTACCATACAGAACAAACGTTCAGGTTATCTGACAGAGCTGTCAAGGGCCTTCCTGGTGGCTCAGGGGTTACGCTCAGGGCTATCACCGCGATGGCCTGAGTCGCAGCCCCGGCCAGGGAGCTGACCCACATGGCATGGCAGACCTCTTCTGTCTCGCCCGCTGCTCCCCTCAGCAGTGGATTTCAGTAGATCCACCCCACTCTGTCTCCGGTGACTCTTCTCACTCCCAGCACATCTAGCCGGCACCCCAGTTCTTCTATGCAACAATAAATAAAATATTTTGAGAAAGTGTCACCAGCACTGCTGGACAGTAGGTCTGTCCAGCAGACCTACTGTATCCTGCTGGACAGTGCTACTCCATCTGTAACTTTCCCTAGGCTGCCTAAGGTAAAAAACAAAGACCAGACGGATAACAACACTATTCCTAACATGATTCCCAATGGATCTTTCCACCACATGATGAGAAAGTATAAAAATAAGCAAAACCTCCATGCCTAAAACTGTCTTTTTATGGATTTGTGACTGTGCACTAGAAAACACCAACTGCACAAAAAACCCATACGGCCAACAGCGAGGGGACTCAATACACTGGTGGAGAAAATGTTTCTGGCCCTTAAAATATCGCCATTTACTCTTCAGGTGAAGAGGTCCTGACACAATTTGGGCCACCTCGGGCCTGCATGCAGAGTCTGGATTCTCTGCATGGCCTCAGCGAAAGGAGACAGGAGACAAATTCTCAGAATCCACCAAAATGCTGACCCAGACGCTTCACGGCAGCCGGCACTTGGTCGGCTTTCCAGCTGGACCGAAAAGTGCACAGAATGTCAACAAAGAGAATTCCAGAACAAGGCAAAGGCCCTTCCACAGCAGTGGTGGGCTGAGCCTGCTTCTGCAAGCAATTGCACAACCCAGCGAGTCCTTTGATGTCTCCTGAACTCCAGTCGGAGGTCAGGATGGCTCAACAAAGCTTTTTCGCAATAGTGGAGTCATTCCCCTCCTCCATCCCCCCAAAGACAACCCAGGAGCCCTCCCAGGCCCTGGGCCACATTGCTGCCTCGCGCCAAGGCTCCACTTACGTAATGCGTAGAGGGTGAGAATGATTCCAGCCAGGCAAAATCCTTCGAAGAACCTGAGTGTGCTGAACATGGTCACATTCACCGACAGGGCCACAGTTAGTCCGAAGATCAGAATGAAGATGATGGAGAAGAGCAGCACAGGCCTCCGGCCGACCCTGTGTGGGGAGAGGGCATCGTGAGGATCGTCACGCGGACTGGGTGCCAGGGCGCAGTACCCAGCAGGCGCTTAATGGATGTCGAATTCCAGCACCCTGCACTGGAAAGCTGGCGACTATTTTGACCCACCATGGTGGATCTGGGGGAAGGGAGACCCTCAGGGTCCATGCAGCCACCTCCCTGGTGGTGCAGATAAGGGCACACAGATGAGCTTGTAAGAACTGAGTCAGGCACCTGAATGTCTGAGGATGGCGGGGGAGGGGGGTGATTCAGGCAGGAGGAACCAAATTAGTAGCAAGTCCCTAAACAAACCTCGGACACACCCAGCGCACACATGAAGTCCCCGACCTTTGGAGCCGGCTCCCAGCTCGGCACCAGCTCTGGGCTGCAGGCAGCTTCGTCCCCCTCCGGGCTCTTAGCTACGGGGCGCAGGCCTGACCTCACTCGCGGCCTCACCAGTCAGGGCTGCCAATTCGTTTCCACCATTAATGGGAAGTAACTTTGAAGGGTTCGCGGACTAAGAGAGTTTATTTATTTTTTCAGATTTATTTATTTATGTTTACAAAAACTGGGGTACAGGCCAAAGCTCCACCAAGAGAGTGGAGAGCAGACCAGGCAGATCCACTGAGATCCACTGCTGAGCGAGCAGCGGGGAGACAGGAGGGGTCTGCTGCGCCCTGTGGGTCAGCTCCCTGGCCGGGGATCGAACTCGGGCTGCAGTGGCTGTAGACAATCCCATAGTGCTGAGCTTTAACCCCTGCACCACCAGGGAGGCCCCAAGAGTTAGAGCTTTAAATAACTGCTGTGGACCGGAAATGGGAGTCTACCGGGCAGTAAGGGGGGAAAGAGGCCTCTTGGGGGAATTTTTGAGTGGCGGAGTGTTCACCCTCTGTGGGCTCCAGTGCAGAGCTGGCAGGTGCCAGGTGGGAGCACTGGGGGGGATGTGCTTCCAGGTGAGGCTGGGAGGGGGCGCCAGGGAGTGCCATCTCACCCTGGCTGACGGCCAGCATGCCCTTCCCCAAACCGCTGAGTGGCAAGCACCAGTCTGAGACAGAAGTACTGTCCCTCGGCCAGCCTGAGCCAGGACACCTCGCAGAGAAACTGGAACATGAGAGAACTGGTCTCTGTATGTGGCAGTGGGGGCGGGGGTGTGAGGGGGATAAGGGGAGCAGTCTGCCTGGCACCCCAGGCACCCAAAGGGAAACTGAGTGGCTTGGATTCATCTCAGCATACTGCTGATGTGGCACCTACATTAAAAGCAGAAGACAGGCCCTCCCTGGTGGCGCAGCGGGTCAAAGCGCAGCACTGCAAGTCAGCCACAGCCGCTTCAGTGCGAGTCTGATCCCCGCCCCAGAGGTGACCCCCATGGCCCGGCAGACCTCTCCTGACCCGCCCGCTGCTCCCCTCAGCAGTGCACTTCCTTGATCTGCCTGTTCCGCTCCCCACTCTGTCTCTGGTGAAGCCTGTCACCACCCCTGCACCTCTGGCCTGTACCCCGGTTCTGTATGCATAAATAGACAAAAAAAAAAAAAAGACAAAAGGCAGGTAGCAGGTGGGTTTGTGGCTGCCAGTTGTGTACGGGGTCGGGTTGATGAACGGGTCCTTCCAGTGTGCAGGAAATGTCTGACCTTAATGTGTGCTGATAACTCTGCAAACACACTGAGCACAGTGAATTGTGTACTTAAATGGGTGAGTTTTACGGTATGCATGTTACCTGCCAGTAAAATTGCTTTTTTTTTTTTTTAAAGGGAGATACCCAGCGGAACAGCCTTCCCCCAGGAAGGAGATGGGTCTTATTTTAAGAAAATTCGGGGTGGGGGTAACCATCAGACACAACTTCATTCAGAACTGCGTAAGCTTCTAGCCGCCCCTGGTCACCACTTTGGGGTTTAGGGAGATGAGGCCAAGGGGATGTGGAGAGTTGGGGGGTCACTGCTCTTGCTGACCTGTACTGGGGCCACCAAGCACTCACTGCCAGAGAGACTTCCAGATAAATCTGTCCAAGCCCAATTCATTTAGAAATAAACGTACAGCCTGGCTCCCCCGGGGAAGAGCCCCCAGAAGACCGCTCACGACAGAGAGGTCTCCACTTCTGTCCCCCTTCCTTCCCCGGGCACGGGGCTGGCCACCGGGGGCGGAGTCACTGAACTGTGGGAGACGCTTCCGGGGTGTCTTTACCCCCAGCCCCGGCCCCCCAGCCAGGGGCGATTCCTCGGAAAGGAGCCCTCACTGCTCATCCCTTAAACTCGGAGCTGCCCTAAATATCTCCCTCCCGAGTGGCTGCGAAGGTCAGTAACTGTGGGGCCACCGGGGTCTTCACCCCGCTCCGAGGCCCCATTCACCGGGGAGGAGGTGGCCTGGGGAGGCCGGGGCTGGTCCCTGTCAGCCGGGGCTCCCTCCGGGTGGCGAGCAGGTGTGGACAGACAGTGGGGTGTTGGCAAGGATGCTGCAAACGTGCGTTAGGGCGTTGCCACTGGGTGCAGACTGGGTGTGGACATCCCCTCTGACATGATGGGAAATTCCCACCGGAAGCAGGGACACCCCATGGCGGCCGTCCGGATCCCCCAACTCAGACCCCCTGACTTAGTACCTGGCGTGGCCCAGGGCCCCTCAGATGCCGTCAAGGTGACGGTCTGACCCAAGAGGCTCTAACAGAAATGCGAGAGCCTGGCCTGGCCGTGTCACAAGGGGCTTGTGGGGGCAGGGGTGGGGGGCACTGTGGGCTCTGAGACCAGAGGGGGGCCCCCGGGCCAGCAATGGCTGCATGGAGCAGGACAGGCAAGGCCCAGGTCTCCACGCGCGAACCCAGCCAGCTGTCAGCTTCACGGGAACCACGGCCTGTAAGACCATCTGTCTAAGCCGCCGAGCATGGGGTCGTATGTCAAGGTGGGGAAGTCACGGGGGATCTTGAAGGGGACATGCATGCCCCCAGCCCCGCCCAGCCTCAAGTCATTTGAGATCTGGGTAAAGGGATTATTTACAAAAGGGGGGGTCAGCTGCGCCAGATAACTGGGTGTGAAGAGCAGAGGGCTTGGCAGGGTGGAACCCAGAGAAAGGGGGGTTGTGTGTGTGGAGGGGGGGCACCCCTGGGGGAGACAGGTGGCTCTGCAGGTCCTGGGTGCAAAGAAACTACCCTCCCTCTCCCACTCTCTCCGGCTGCTGCTCCCTCCCCACGGCCATCCGGCTGCCAGTGGCCACTAGAGGCCGGGCCCCAGGGCCAGCTGTGGGGGAGGGCAGAGGGCTCTGGAGCCAGAAACACAGAGGTCCAGCAAAAAGCCCGGGGTGCAGGGCCACACATAACGTCCCCAGGTCACGGGTATGGAAACAGCCACTTCTCCGGCGACTGCCCTCACCTGTGAGGCCACCCTGGGCCTTGGTGGCTGTCCCTGGGCTTCTGTCCTGTCAGCAGAGTCTGGCAGGATGTAAGGGCTGCCCCCTCCTTCCACACACCACAAAAAAGAGGGCAGAAAGCGCCAAATTCCCAAGCTGCAACTGAGTCTACTCACAAGGTTCCAGAAGCCTCCATGCAAGGGGAGCCTGCCCCCCGCCCCGCCCAGCTGGAAGAGCCCCTAAGGCCGAGGTCTGCAGCCTCAGACCCTAAGGAGACCCTAAGCGCCTCTGTGTGTACCCCAGACGCAGCATAGACTCCAGGAGGCCCAACTGCGTAGCGGGGGAGAGGCGAGCGAGCCCCCCAGAACCGCCTCTTCACCTTCCTCAGGACATCCTGGCTAATGGGGCCACGTGAGTCCACCTTCCCGGCCGAATCAGAGCTGGCTTCTAGGAAACGGGGGTCGTGGTTCAAATACTGGGGCTGGAGTGTGTTTAGACCAGCCTAGCTCACTTGGGAAACTTTAAATTCCAGTATGTGATTTTAAAAAGAAACCCTCTGCTTCTCCTCCCTCTCAAGTACGAGGCTGATGGCGCCTTCGTGACTGTCCCCGGGAAGGGGCCTAAGAGCAGAGTCCCCAGAGGGACTCACGTTACATAACATGGAGGCCCCGAACTAGAGGGAATTCCTCCTGCTGGCCTGGGCCCTGGGTCTGGTGGACCCCAGCTACCTGGGTTGTGGGGGGCTGCTGTGAGCAGAGTGCTCCCACCGGCCCACACCCGTAGCACTTCCTGCAGGCGTGTCCACCCTGAAACTGCCTGCCGGCCTGCTGGTCACTCTGGTGACACAAGCTATGCAAGGCCCATCGTCTGACAGATTCCGGGTG